CCCCCCCCCATTTCAAACCCTATCTTTTTTAAGTGTAGTTCCTATGGGGAATGTGCGCGAGTTCATAGTTACAAGAGTCTCTGCAGTAGGCATTGAAATATTTAAAAGTTTTAAGTTGACTAATGAAAGTCAAATTTGCATTTGGTTCAGAGCATCCAGGATTTTCATAATACATGAGTGTAACATTTGGTGTTTTGTTGGTTGTAACACTTTAGAAAGCAGCCCTCTGCGCCTGGTTTTAGAAGGCTGTAATTGTAAGGAAAGGCTGAATAGAGGCCACTTTGAAGTCCTGGGTTTTTTGTGTTCTCAAAATGGTGGTGTTTTCACAGAAGGACTTTGCAGATTTCTCTTTCCTTTTATAATGGCTTTAGCAGTAGTAGGGTAGTGAGACATGGCTTTTACAATCAAGCTACAGTTCTGGAAGCAGAGGTCTGTGTAAGCTGTCGAAGGCAGAATTTGGTTGTTCTGACTTTGTTTTTCCATTACTAATGATTGCTGCCAATTTTTTTAATATAATTGAGGGATTAGATTTGCCAAACTTAAATTATCAGGTAGAACCAGGATTATTTTTGCAGAAAAAAGGACATGGCTGTTACCCTGGAAAAGCCTTTTCTTATACCTCTAAATGTTATGCAGAAAATGTGAGTGACTCAGTTTACCTACTCACTTTTGCATTGTGTTCTGCTGGGACTGAAGGGAAACAGGTCTTCTCTGGGACCAGGGAATAAGAATTAAGCATTGGCCGCATAGGCATGTCTGGTCTGATGTAAATGAGTTATTGAGAACGGCTTTACTTCAGAGGTTCACTGGATGTTGAAGTTGAGTGACTACGCATGAACTTGCAATGAAGAGGCAGCCGAGAGAAAAGAACATGTGCAAACACCATGACAGGAATCTGAAATGAAGAGCATGGGTGACTGGACATTGATAAGAAGTCTTGGCCAGGGACACGGGCGGAGCTGTGGCCATTTGGGGCCAGAGAGAAGGCTGCTAGCACGGGTGCATGTGGGAGCTTTGCCTTTTCATATAAGGCACAAGACCCTAAAATACTGGATTCTGGATCGACTGATATAAGCTGCTTTGACTAATATTGCAAGCGTTAGCTGGTTGCTTAGATCCCGAAAGGGGGAGATTTGTTACAGGAGTTCAGGTTTTTGGATTTTCTGGAAGAGCCCCACTACAAAACGGGGCCCATTCTCAATCTCTCCTCATTCCCCCCTGCAGCTCTGTTGCTTTGCTAGCTCACCGAGCAGCAAAGCTATTGAGGCTTATGTTCAGATAGA